CTATGGTTGCTAGCATAGATACGTATATACGCGCACGTGCACGTGCACGTACACACCAGCCCCGCCTTGAAGCTTTTAGTACTATACTGCGCATGCGCAAATGTACTAATGCAGATACGCCCATGATTGAAGATTCAAGAGTTTGCAAAAGGTGCAAGATAGTACAAAATAAAAAATACAAATTATTTTGTCATGAAAATTGAAATTACTAGGCGAATGTAAAACATTAAGGGGCGAGCAAAACGATTAACATTTCGATTAGCAATATACAATGTCTATATAGACAATGATGTAGTGGCTATTAAACCTTGAATGTTGACTGATGTGAATGTGATGTCAATACACTAATGCAGAATTTGCATGAAAGGAATTTCATAGTTTCTAGCTTTGACTGAAGAATCTCTGCAGTTATGTAGCTCTAGGATGGAAGATAGTTGGTCTCAGAAGCCAGAAGGAGACTCCATTTGGTGCGACAAGACCTATATCTCTAGCATTTCCTTGCTCTTTTCTCCTCCTCAGTCTTGCTCCTTCTCACGCTCGTTACGAAGAAGTCGACGAGCTTCACAAGCATCTTCTTGTGAATAACTCATGTTTTAAACTTCAGCTTCTCTTGTTTCTTAAATACTCTTAAACTCCTCTCTTCCAGTGATTAAGTTGCTTTACTCTTACTTGTAGTCTTCGCACGTGGTGCCGTAATTATAAAAATTATCATTTTAAAATGTGTGGTTATTATTTTTTATAGACGCATAAATAGGAGTGACGTACATGTACAAACAAACAAACAAACAGACATACTCGACTCGACTACTGTAAACCTATTAATGTTAGCGGCTACTTTATTTAGCGTTTATGCTTAAATGTCAAATTAGCGACTATTAAATTTGGCGTATCATTAAACATTTCCCACTTTTCAGTTAGCTGCTGCTGTCGTTCCACTGGGTTCTCCTTTCTCTGGTAGTGTTGCCGACCGAGCAGAAGAGAGCCATCTACATTTTGTGATCACGTGACCGGATGTTTTTATTAGCGAATATTAAATTTAGCGTGTTTAGGCTCTTTGCTAATATCGCTAAAATAAGTAGCATGCTAAAATTTGTAGTTTTACAGTATGTGGGGCTCGCTTTTGCTCGCCCCAATAAAGTAATAATAAAAATTGATGCTTGAGGGTAAAGCCACAAAAATAATCTTCACAAAATCACCCAGCTTTAGTAAATGGAAGAAGAAAGTAATAAATTCAGCTTTGCCATCAATAAAAAATAACATTAAGAGTAACATAAAAATAAATGTACAGTCAAAATTAAGAGAGAATAACTTACATCAATGAGAACATTGTGTGGTTGAACATCACTTGGTGAGATCTTCTTTGAACGGAGGAGAGAACATTCCCTTCTGGGCAGTAATGGTCCATTGCCATGCTGCTGAAAATTCTTTCATGAACTACATGTACAGTATGAATTTAAAATAGCAATCATAATTATTATTATTCCATTTTACATCCATACATAACAGTACTGTGCTGAGAGTACATGTACAGTACCTTATAGCAGGAAATTTCGGAGGGGCTAAAATTTGGCAAATTGCTAAATTTTGGTGATCGGTGAATTTTAATTTGGTGGATTTTACTTTGTGGTCACATGCCATTGAGCATACATATAATGGCTCAAAATGGCAGATTTTTATTTTGGCAAATGGCTATCAAAACGCCAAATTCGCCAAATTTAATCCCCTTCAAAATTTCCTGCTATACAGTTCATATTATAATGATTCCCAACTTTAATTCTTTCTCTATCCTTCTCTCTCTCTCTCTCTTATTACTTTAAACTCTAATTCAGGACAAGCTGCAATGAGCCACTGCCAGCAATGTGTTGCTATGGTAACAACATCTTTGTTGAATGTTTTCACTGGCAAATGAACAATAGCGTGTAATGTAGTCCTTTCATGAGAACCTGAAAGGGAGAGAGAGAGAGAGTGAAATAATTATGACAGTACAGCATGTACAGTGAATGAATGTATAATCACATGTACACTTAGTTACATATAGTTATATATTTATTACCTTTACAAGATATCAGTAAAGCTGTCATGTTATAGAGTGCTGTTGTGATTAGACTCAAGTCATTTTTCTCTATTGCTAGAACTAACTGCTTGTTAGCATTATTGTATATACCGGCCAGTCCTATGAGAACAAACACACACTAATACACAAGATAAACTCTTTCTATCTACTAGTAATCTTTATGTATTAATAATCTAGTTACAGGTATAGTAATACTCTCTTTTCTCTGTTCTTCCTCTCTTAATCTCTTCCTATATCTTTACCAGAGCTATCAGTGAGTTCAATGGCTCCCTTTACTCTACCAATGAAGCTGCTTTGGATTACAACAGAAGAGAGAGCCTGAGAGCGAGTGTCCTTCAAGCAGTCAGGATGATTACTAATCACTGCAATCTATTTTGGAAAAAAAGACAATTAATACTGAAAGCTACACACAAAATAACTAATAAATG